ACAGGAAGTGAAGATGAATATCTCTAACAGAGCCCAGGATGGGCAGTAAAACATGATAGTGGTTCTAACGCTTCCTCACTCTATCAAACACTAGTAACAAATATTTTTGGCTTACCATTCACTTTAAGAATCAGACAGAGGCTTTGCTGTTGTTTACAATAGGGTTATGAGAATTAGGAACGGTCAATTAGCCCACACAAACCACTTGTTGGATAGACACAAAATGTATTAAAATGAAACAATACAGACGGACATTTTACAGGATGAACCAATAGTCAATCTACAGAAGGTGGGATCATGGGCATGGGGAAGTACTTTTATTCTATACTATTTGCTGAGAAATTTTTTTAACAAGGAGCCCTTCTGCAATCATTGAAGCCTTCCACTTTTCTGGTTTGATGTTTAAACTCCAACCAAGACAGTTAAGTTAAGCCTCAGAGAAAGTCCTCATTAGTGAAATCCCGGTCAACAGTAAACACAAATTTGGACACAGGGGACTTCAGTACTGACTTGGGTATAAAGGGATTTCCAAAAAAATGGTAGCTCTCTTTCTTAATACCTCTGCACAATAATACAGACAAGGCCACTCCCAGCGCACAGTTCACCCTATTTTGGAGCATTGGTTTACTGGTTTTGCATGCAGAATGTAAAGGGTTGCTATGGTCAAAAACTATAAGCAAATATGTACTTTTAAATTTAATTTCCATAAGTTCTATTCCACATCTAATGATCATATCGATCTAGAAGTTTGTAAAATTGCTTACTGAAAATGTCCATAGGATGAAATTCCTCAATGCCCTGACACATTTTTCACTCGGTCCTGTGAATATGCACTTCTTTTTGTGTCACAACTGTCACAGAGCTTGCCTTCTAAACTACAACTCAATGTCTGAACAATGTAACATCATCATTGCTTGCTGGAAGCAATGCATTATGGGATATGTGGTCTTGAGAGATTGAGATTGCATCACATTGAGCAGCAGGGGAAATAGATGCAAGGCACATTGGGAATCCAGGAAGTTGTTGAAAGTGGTGACAGACAGAAGGCAGCACTCACTACATAAAAAAAAAAATTTTCAAGTATGCTTTGATTGCATTATCAAAAATAACTATATGATGTATTCCTATGACAATGCTGATGTTATAAAAGGATACTACTTTCTGGAACTTTAGAACTCCTTTGAAGAGGAATTTCAACCCATTTTGCTCCCCGTACCTTATCCACTGAGTTATGCAAAAAAAAAAATACTCACAAGCCCAGCAATCCAGCGATGTGCTGTAGTGATCCGCTGCTGCACAGCCGGTCCCATGCCACCATCGTCTTCATTGACATCATTAGGGGTTTCTCTTCCAGGTTCTTGCAGCCTCCCCCCACCCCGATAACAAGCTGTGGCGTTTGCACCGCAGTGTACTCTGATGTCTCCTAAGCAGATGTGGGTATTTCAGTAGGCTAAGCAAAACACAAGGGGGAGGAATGCAGGAAGTGTGATGAGGGTTCTCCAAAAAACGTATTTTAAAAAAAATATATATAAATATCACATTTTTAGAGAGAAGGGGGTTAGGTATGAGATGAGAGAAGCGGGTGGGGAGGGCGAAGGATTGCTTTAAGTACATGGACCTTGGATACTTCAGAAAGTCCCCTCACCTCGTCCCCGCCTCACATTTCCTGCCCATCCACGATCGGCAAAGCACGCGGGGAGATGTAGTAAGGAGGAGCAGGGGTGGGGGGATGACAGCCGCTGATAGACAGGTCCGATCTCAAAAGCAAGTTGCTGGAAGACTGCTCAGGTAAGCCTGCACTTTCCCACACATGGTGCTCTATAATGTATTGCGGGGATTTGTATTTCTCTATAGCTGATGGTACATTGTACTGTACATTACATACAAATACCAGCAATGCATTATACACAGCCTAGTAATTGCAATTCTGCTTTTCTTTATATTTTATTAAACAATGTTCCTATTGATTTATTTATACCACTCTTAAAAGAACAGTTTTCCTTCACCATAATCAGTGTCTAATATTCCGTAGACTCCAGAGCTGGATGAGATACAAACAGATATAAGACATCTGCTATCCATCTTCCACTACCATGGACTAACAATGTTTTTTTGGGGTATTCCCAGACCAGGTGCCCTACTTTCCTCTTGCAAGCTACCTGCTCACAGTCCTCTTCCTACAAGTGAACCATATCGCAACTTTCCAATACCTCTTAGGATTAATAGCATTGCAAATGAGTGGGACACAGGCAACCACTACTATATAAGCATTGAACAGAAGCAATATTATTCTCCCTTCATTTCCTAAGCCAAACTGAGAATGTTATTGGTTTCAACGAGCAACCCTCCTATCAGACACTTTCATGAGGTTCCTTAATAATTGATCAGCTACATGCTCACGTATATGACTCAGCCCATGATACGCCAGCCCCCTCTTTGTGCCGGTGATAGACAAGTACACGTTGATACCGGGTACTGATAATGTCACTGTCACAGCTTCTTTATTCCAGGCTACTCTTCTGTTGTCAAATAAAAAATGGTCAATAAATGAGCTTCTACGACTGATGGCTCACTATAACATTGATTGTCATGTCTTACACCTATTTTGCTTTCTGTTTACAGATATGCTTTGATCCTCTTGGTTTCACAATGAGTGTCTGCTTAGATCATCACATGTGGGTGTATATTCTGGTCATTATCATTCACAGGGGTTGACTTTTTGTTCCAATCTGTTTCTGGACACACTTGCTAGCTCCGTTCGGCTGGCACATTATGTACCTGTTTTATATGTCCCCTTATATGACATGGCAGGGAGCACAGATGTCCAAGGGTTGCCTGCTTTTTTCATGTAGGCACCTTGTAGGCTGATTCTTTGTCCCTCCATGTCTTTGTTTCTCTCATTCCTTATGCATGTTTCTTTGTCTGTGTCTACATGTTAGGATCCCTCTGCTTTGTGTTTCTCCATTTCTCTTGTCTGGCTTTTAACCATTCAATAAGTGCCTGTCGTTTTTTTTGTACCAGCTCCCTGTTTCTTAGCCTCTTGACTCCTCTGACCTTCTTTTATACTCATCTATATTTTACTTCTTCTCTCTGTGTGCCTAGCTTGGCATTCACAATTTATATTTTTTTTAAGTCCCCTGTTCCGATTTGAGAACATTTTTTTTTCCCGTTACTTGTAAGGTCAACCTCATGTTCATACTTTATACCAATATAACATTGAAGTTTGAAACAAAATGACAGCACTTAGCTAATGTATTTATTTGAATGCAGTACAATTCAGTGATTCAGAGAGATTCACTTCTGCATCTGTCAACAGAGCTACAGTGCGTAGAGGTAGAGAATCACCATTCTATAAAAAAAAAAAAAGAATACACTTCCCTACACAATAATAAAAGAAAACGGCACTAATCCACCTAAAATCTTTGATACAGTCAATAAAAAAGAGTTTGATCTTATTACACGTCAACAATAATTCACTGCAGTCTGCAAGACCAGCAAAACCTGGAAACATCAAAACTACCAACAATATAAAAGCTGGAAATGTGCTGTTAACCTGATTGGTTTATTGAAATGAACAGTGCTCTGCCAAATCACTTTTAAGCTGGACATGCACTGTGCGTTTTTTTGTTGCTCAGCCCCGCGGACTGAATTTAGAAAAAGGGCTCCATTTCCCCATCCACACTAAACAGCATGGATGGGGGATTCTCCCCTGCTGGGCGTTTTTGCCACTGTCAGAATACCTGAACGGTGACTCCTAATTGGTTGCAGTCACTGTTCAGATGCAAATCTTTGGACTGCTTCAAAGAAAGTTGACTAAAAAAACAACTTTTGTTGAGAGGAGGAGTGCCAACAGAGCCATAGACTGTTTGAATTGGTGAAGACTCACCCCAAATGTGAGCAGTGTATGGCCAGCAAAACATCTTTTTAAGCAGGACTGGACAAATCCCAGGAGCCAGGTAGCCAATGCCCCTTAAAAAATACAGCCGTCACCTAACGTTTTAAGCTCAATTTAGTTGTTGCCAATAGAGCTACTGCCTTAAAAATCCTACTGCCTCCTGGGTTGGACATACTGGCTCCTGAATTGGACATACTGGCCCCAGGATTGGACTGATTGGCTCCTGCATTGGACAGACTAGCTCCGGCACTTCACAGACTGGACCCTAAATTAGACAAACTGGACCCTGCATTAGACAGACTGGACCCTGCATTGGACAGACTGGCCCCTGCATTGGACAGACTGGCTTCTGAATTCCATACAAATTCAATCCACCCTTATTAAAAGTATTGGTCTTATGTATTACCCAAAAGTTATTTAAAACCAAATAGTTAACTTTTATAGAATATATAAGTCCCAAAAAATTGAAGAACTACAAAAAAGTAAACAGTAGTAGCCAATCAAACATAACCTTTCTTAGTTTTCAGGACAATGATTTCTCAGGACAATCATCTATTAACACTGTTGGTGAGTAATTGGAGCTGGAGCCTGAAATAACATGAAACTTTATAACAGAGGAATACAAAGTTCCATGTCTGTAACGCTACATCAGGAAGTCCAGACTCTCAGCACCAGATTTGGGGACAGCAGACGTCAAACGATCAGCCCAAATCCCAATTCGGTGCCTTGAAAGGCTTAGCCAGCACAAAGCTCTGTTAGGAAAACTATTTACTCTCCAGCAGAGCACAATGACAAGTTCTGCTAAAGGGAAGAAGATTGCCAAACCTAGAGAGGAAATCCTTAGCAGACAGCTGACACAACATCACAGCCCACAGAAAAAGAAAGCTTTTCCTCCATGTGTAGAGTCATCCTTTGTGCCATCCAGGCACCCTAAGTTGGCTCAGGATTCCGATCTCCCCCTGTAGTGATCAGGATGGACCCTGGCCATTCAATATACCTGATCCCTCTTTATTATAAGCCATATACCATAGATCCATGCACACAGACACACATCCAAGCACAGCTGGCCACCTTCCCCTTTGTATCCAGTTACTTTCCCATTTACCCATTGAGTTGTGAATCCTGGAGCTCGTCAGTCCTTGCGATATCTTTGGTTTTATAGAAGATCAGGAGGATGCTTATTGTGCATATAGTCCACCTCTTTCTTATTGAACGCATGTCTCTACAACACACACAGACCTCCAATCCGTTTGGCTTTGTTTTAGCGACAGCAGACAGAAATGAAGAATTAAAAAGAGAAGAAGACTGGAGAAGATTCCGGCGGAGATGAATGACAAGTGCAGTGACACCGGCTGATAGAGATCCGTACACAGAGGGATGCGGGCTCCTTGGAGACTGATCCTCCCCGGGCTTTACATTGGATGCAGCCCGATCACTGGCGCTGGTACAATCAGCAGCAGCACCAGCGGCAGCAGTAGCAGCAGGTTCCCTCCTGCACTAGACCAGCCCTCCCCACTGCCAGTATGTGCTGCGTGCAGCTCCGCCCACCCATGACGTCAACGCCCGGCCACTGACCACCCCCCTTCCACTAGATAGGTGACAGCTGGGGAGGAACGTGCGATGTGCTGCTACCTGTGCTGGCAGCTTCATCACTGGAGGGGGGCAGTGGACTGCCAATTGCTACCAATGTCTTCTCCGAAGTGGATCTCCACATATGCAGAAAGGTCTTCTGTATGTTATGTGTTCCCATCCACACATTATTACTAAAAAGAATGTTTAAAGTCATATTAAAGACAAAAGGTTTTTAAAGTGACAATAAACGTAGGAGTTAAATCTATAAAATGTGTTCAAGTAACTTAAAGGGTAACTCCACTTTCCCAGGTGAATCTGACAAAATGGAATTACCCCCTCCCTGTTCCCCTTTCCCCCAAACCTTGCTAGACTTACCTTTGGGTGAACACTCCTTCCCAAGCTGTTGTACTATCCGTACCCCGTACTGCCCTGTATCGCAGCCCTGCACTCTGAATTTTGGATTTCGCTTGCAAATGGTTCTTTGCGATTCTCACTTGTAAACAATAATTCACCAATGAAAAGCACGTCTGAACGCACTGACCAATGCGTGTTTGCCATTTGCGACTGAAATTCAAAATCCTTAGTGCAGGGCTGCACTGCACAGCAGTACATGGTACAGATAGTACACCCCCACCAGCAAGAGGGGAGAGGGGGCCAGATTGGAGAGGGTAATTCTATTTTCGCAAATTAAGCTGGGAAAGTGGAATCACCCTTTAACTATTAACAAAATTGTATCTTATTTGTGTATCACTCCTCTGTAGATCCTCAAATCATCTCTGAATTGGTGCTGACACTGTGGTTTCCTTCTGGAGGGTGATGGGAGAGTCCTCCCATCACCCAAAGCTCAGTATACCGCTAGTTACAGCTCGCGGTATACTGAGACGCCTCAGCTGAAACGGATCCCGACAATTATGTCTGCGTGAGTGACAGCTGGCTCTGCCTATCTAGAGGTGGATCCAGCTGTACCCACCCCTCCCCCGTCCGTTCCGCTAGTCAGCGCTGGAGGACAGGGCAGGAGGGAATGCAGTCACTCCCCTGTCACAGCATTCTGCCATGACAGGATCGAGAGGTGAGCGAACGCCGGTATTTGTTCGCTCACCTCCTGATCTACTGAGCCGACCTGTGCACAGTCAGCGAGTGAAAAAGCACTCGCCTCATAGTTCTCCTTTAACAAATGTTACCAAAAAGTTTTGAATTCACTCTTTCATCTTCGCTCGTCTTGACTATTGCAACTCCCTTCTCATTGACCCACCTCTAAACAGGGTATCCCCTGTTCAGTCTATCATGAATGCTGCTGCCAGACTCATACACGTCACCAACTGCTCAGGGGCCACCACCCTGTCTGCCAATCCCTCCACTGGCTTCCTATAGTACAACACTTAAAATTCAAAATACTAACAACAACATACAAAGCCATCCACAACTCTGCCCCAGCTCCATCTCCAACCCAGGGGCGCCCTGAGGCCGGGTGTCACCCGGAGCGGAGACCGGGTGACACCCCATCGTGACACCATCGCGCATGCGCGGCAATTTAATTGACGCCTGCCGGTGGTTATCTTGATGATGGACGCCGGCAGAGAGAGGAGGGGATGTTCACCTGGCAGGATGAGGTATGCCGCCGGTTCCCCTCCTCTCTCTAGACACTGTCGGACTCTCGGTCCATGACCGAGTGCCCACATTTTTATAGTGGGTGACACCAAAATGACTGTCAGTCATTATTGTGTCACCCCTCCAATGGTGTCACCCAGGTGCGGGCCGCATCCCCCACACCCCCCTTGTGAGACCACTACTCCCAGCTCATCTCAATATTTCACCCAAACTGTCCTCCCCGCACCTCCCAAGACCTCCTGCTGTCTAGGTCCTTCATCACCTAATCCAATGCTCACCTCCAGAAACTCTACAGAGCTTCTCCAATCTGCTGGAACTCCTTACCCCAACCGATATGGCTATCTCCTACTCTGTCTACCTATAGTTGATCCCTGAGAACTCACCTCTTCAGGGAAGACTATTCCACCTCCATCTAAAAACCAGTGATGTGCGGTACCTTCCGTGCTGGGTGAGGCATTAACAGGCAGCACTCCATCCATGACAGGTTACACAGCGGGGAGGCTTTCCCTGCTGTGTAACTTGTTAGAGGCCGGTCTAAATGGGGAAAAAGCTGTCAGCTTCAGACTTGAAGCTGACTGCTTTTTCCTCCACAATACTAGGTGAGGCTCTGCCTCCCTGACCGCACATCCCAGCTAAAAACTGTACATCTGCTCCTTCAATCAGCTCATCCCTCATAGTTATTGCCTTCTGTATAATTTGCCCCTCCTGTTAGAGTGTAAGCTCTCACAAGCGGAGTCCTTCTAATGTTCGTATGGAATTGTATTGTAACTGTACTGTCTCCCCTTATTTTATAAAGTGCTCCGCAAACTGTTGGCTCTTTATAAATCCTATGCTATCGTGCATTGCAGTGCAGGATGTGCGTTGCATTGCCTTTCATCCATCATCAGAGACTTGAAGAATGTCGTTCAAATTTAGTTTGAGTTTACCATTTCATTTTGGAATGAATGCAGTTTCCTGAATGAAAACCACATTTACTGTTAGAATTATGTTTGTCATTCCATCCTGCACCTTGGATATTGTTTGGGTCATTGGGATTATGAAGACAGGGGCTCTACAGACATGTATTTGTGTTTCACAAATTTATAGTGAAAAACAGCAGTATACACATATATACCGGCTTTTCAGGGCCTCACAGGGTCCCTTTCTCACGGCAACATAACGTCACTGGTCACTTTACCTTACAGGTGACCCATTTCATGAGAAGACGCCACTTCACTGCTCTTCTGACCGCTGCAAGTATTCACACACCTCCAGGTTTGTAATTACCTGCTCTCCCTGCCGCTTGCTGTGATTTTTTCTGCCAGATCATACAGCTCTATAGGATGTACAAGCCAGCAGAAGGTACCACATCGCGCAGTGTGGAATCAGGTATACGAAGAATCCGACTGATGGAATACTTGTAGAGGACAGTGAGCACTAAAACCGACATGTTTCATATCACTAGAGGTCTTGTTGTCTTTAATATAGCTATGCACCAAATTATCCTTCAGTGAAGATGATCTCTGAAAGGTAAACCTACAATTATCTGTTTTAAATCTTCAAGAGCATCATCATTTTTTAACGTGTGCCATTTTTTGTCATTGTTTTTTTTCTAACCTGTGCAGTCTCCTGAAAACCTCTTCTAAAAGGAAAGTCCCAGTTGTCATTTGGTGTCCTGCTGTTCTTTTAAAATGCTTTTTTCCCTCCCCGCTCTTTCTACTTCGTGGATCGTATCTTCTAACATACTCTGTTCAAAGCTCCTCTCTAGAAAATGATCCCTCACTCTGTCTGCTTCTTCTCTAAAATCCTCTGGCTCAGTACAGTTTATGAACCCTATAAAACTGCCCCTAGGGCACACTGTCCAACCAAGGATGTTAATAGTAACTAATACTCGCTATATATACGTTTCTGTGATTCACTTTCAAATATTTTTAGGTATTTTCTTGGAATAGTTTCAAATCCCCAAAAAGTGGAGCTCTATATATCTTTGTTTTCACCCAACATTTACACAACTTTTACATAAAGATTCACATATTTTCCATTACAAAAGCGTGTCAGTTGGGGTACAGTAGTGTGACTCTTGGGTAAAACATTGATAAACAGACGCCTAAAGGTGCCCATACACCTCAAATCACGATGTACAACCTCAGTTCACGAGCTGTGACCCCCCTCCCTTCCCCTCTCTCGTTCTTCCAAATTTCTCTCCTCTATCAGTTTTCCTCTCTCTGTTCCCCTGCCTTTCTACAACTTTCCTAACATAGCAGGATGTTTAAAATGTTGGTTCGGAGAAGGTACCAGGCAGTGCTGGCAAGCGCTACAATGTCTGGACGCGCAATGGTGATTCCCACCAGATTTATACTGTAGATATAGTCATAGTGGTGTTGATCCTTTCTACATTGAATTATACATAACCCAGAAATGCCTTAGCTTTACATATCGTATAACCGAATTTAAGTCACCTTCGACACCGACCCTTGATTGTCCATGCCAGACCGCCAATGTTCAATGCATATACTCATGTTGCCTGATGTCTTGTTTGTACTTTTTGTACCCTTCTGAAGTTTTGATACTGAATGTTATGAAACCTGTTAAAAATGCTAATAAAAACTGATTCAACACTAAAGGTGCCCATGCACCTTACAATTATCTGCAGATTTTCTGTGGTCAGATGGAAAAAGTGCAACAGATTGGCCCAGGTGGAGATTACTCCATCCACACAGTTAAGTGTAGCTGGAGGAATCTGTTGCACTTTTTCCATCTGACCACAGAAAATCTGCAGATAATTGTAAGGTATATGGCCAGCTTCATGTTCATATTGTACGTCAAAACCTAAAAGAAATGTGTTGCAATCTATCTTTTCAATTACCTCATTTCAATGATGATTCATTCCCCTTCCAAATTGTTTTTAAAAGTTTTTTTTAAGCCCTTCCAGTATTATAAAGCAGTGTTTCTCAACATTTTTTTTAGTCACGGCACCCTTTGAAAGTATGCAAAATCTTAAGGCACCCGAGTCCAAAATGTCAGGCACCTCTAAAATGTCATCGATTTTTAAGGGGGAC